AATAATCTGGAAGTCCATCACCAAACTTGGCACACTTGTTTCCAGATCGTTTATGAACAAGTTAAAAATAAGTCTTGATACAGATCTTTGAGACCCTACTTTCTATCTCTCTCAATTTTTGTGACTGTCTACTTCTGTTCTTTAGTTTACCAATCCATAAGAGGACCTGTCTTATTATCCCAGGACCAATAAGTTTATTCAGATGTTTTCAATGAGGAACTTTTATCAAATGTTCAAGTACATAATGTGTATTGGGTCACCCCTGTCCACATGCTTATTGAAACTCTCAAAGAACAAGTCCAAAACTTCAGTAAGACAGGACTTACCTTTGCAGAAGGCATGTTGGTTTTTCTTTCAGAAATACTCGTTCTTTAGTATGCTTGATAATTTTATCTTTAATAATGCTTTCCATCAATTTACCCGGAACAGACATTAAGCTAACAGGCCTGTAATTTTCTGGATCCCCCTGGATCCTTTTAAAAATGGATGTTATGTTGGCCACTTTCCAGTATTCAGATATGAATGCTGTTCCTGGAGACAAGCTAGGTGTTTTTGTTAGAAGATCAGCACTTTCACATTTTTAGAACTCTTGATGGAATACCATCTGGAACTGGTGATTTGTTAAAATGTTTAATTTGTAAATAAGCCTGGAACTTCATCTCTTCTCACCACTGTTCATCTTTACTGTGAGATACACAGGGCAGATATCCATGCCTGAATTTACAATTTCTGGAAGTTTGAAGAACCAAGGTAGGAATTCAGGTAGGAGAGCAAGGAATTCACTCACCTGTTATGCAATCTGTGCTCTCTCCTTTAGCATACCTTTCGCTTCTTTGTCATTCAATGGTCCAGCTTGCCTCCCTACCCACAAATTATATTGTAAATATTCCTTAAATTGATACTTTTAAAGTTTTTAGTGACAGGCCCCTCAAATTCATTTTCTTAATTCCTGCCACTTGCATTTCATAGGCCCAATTTTGTTTTCATTTGGGCAAGACTTCAGTTTTCTGAAGGACCCCTTCTTATATCGTCAATAGCTTCCTTAACTCTGCTCATTAACCATGCAGGCATTCTCTTGGACTTGGTAACTTTCCTGAGCTGTGCCTGTCTTAGCAGAGCTTCTACAGGTAGCCATTTTATTTTCTCACCATGCCCCAGATGTTGCATTATTCTGGTGTGTTGGAGGGTTAAAAGTGACTCATGCCACTATTTTTATTTTTTATTTTATTTTTTGAGATGACAACCATTGGTCCTTAACAAAGTCAAGGGATACTGCAGTTTCTGGGGCATGGTAAGTAAATATATGGATGGTGGCCATAGACGGCCATAAAAAGAAAAGAGAGCTTTGCTGCCACTGTCACTAGAGACACCCCCCTCCCCCAGAAATAGTGATTTGATCTTCTGTGCCTTTTAGTAATATAGTAATGGAATTCAACCCACGGAGCTCTGTTTAGCTCAGTTTTTCATTTATTCCAAAATGATTACACACCTACTGTAAAATAGCAGTGGTAAGGCTCTCCTGAAACCGATGGGCAAGTTAGGTAATCTGTCTGTAAACCCTGATGTGGAAAAATAAACCCCCAAATGTCTAGAACTGGCGTTGGTCATATATTTCTGAGCCCAATATCTGCCCCCTTGGGGGGAAAAGCCCAGAAAGTTACAGTTTGAACTATTTTTTTCCTCAGTTCTTCTCTTGCCATCTAAGGTGGCAAGCATGCCATGGAGAATAGAGAACGATGAAGGTTCTTGAGTAGCCAGGATGATCCAGAAAGCACATAAATTATGTGATCTTCTAAAATACAGATTTGCTCTGGAGATTATTGGTTGCCTCTTGTCCAGCCAGAAATGAGTAAAACTTGGGAGGGAGGACATGGCTGCTGCAGCAAATCTATTTCACATGCACAGCTTCTTCCAAAGCTCTATGTAGGACTTGGTGCAGGCTCTCTGCCCTCCACTTATGGAGACAACTTGCACAGGATCGTTTGCAGAATAACTGGAAGCTTAAGTCTAGCAGAAGATCTATACAAAGCTCTGGCTCCTGACCCTCCTTATCCCATGATCCCGATGCGTGACATGTGACTCACTGCACTGAAAAGAACACACTGAAAATATAGATATAGCTACATTAGCAGTCCCCCCAGGAGCTCAGTTTACCTCTCTTTTTTTGGATCTCTCCTTGGACTGCAAAAAAAAAAAAAAAAAAAAAAGGTTGTCAAGCATCTGTCACAGAACTGGTGGGATGCAGCTGGATATCTAGCCTATCCCATATTGCAAGCAGCAGCCATAAAACTTATTTTCTCCGGGCTGTGTAAAATTCATCTGCTAGTATACTGTCCAGCTACTTTGGTTGGAGGGGCTCTCTCTTAATTATTTTCTGGCGGAATGTTGCCTTTATAATTTCATGTAAGATTACTGAAATATCGCAAGTGCCGTTTGTTCTGTAACCCACAAGTGTCTGTTGCAAGGACTGCTCAAACAGGAACATGTCAACTCGATAATATCTATAGATCTGTGCAGGTAGGCATAAGCCAAAGTACATTCAGCTCCCATGAGAGTGACAGCTTCTGCTAAACGTCGTAATAAACTAGGTACCTGCATCCGTTGTACAAGTCCCATTGAAAAGAATGAGATTTGCCCATGAGTGGATGTATGTGATGGGCCTGTCCCATCTAGTCATTGCAGCGGGGCTTGCACACAAAGCTCCTTTAATGAAATTATACCTTATGTGAAAGGGTCAAGTGTCCAAAGAAGTCACAGGTAAGCTGTCTTATACAGTACCGAGTAAGATCATTGGTTTATCTAGCTCAGTTTGGACTACACTGATAAAGAAGAGTTTGGATTTGATATTCCACTTTATCACTACCCGAAGGAATCTCAATGCGGCTAACATTCTCCTTTCCCTTCCTCCCCCACAACAAGCACTCTGTGAGGTGAGTGAGGCTGAGAGACTTCAAAGAAGTGTGACTAGCCCAAGGTCACCCAGCAGCTGCATGTAGAACAGATAGCCAGGGTTTCTGATGAAGTTTCCCCAGCCTTAGCTGGAGATGCCAAGGAATGGGCATAGGATCTTTTCCTTGCAAGGCGTGTGTTGCTTTACAGCTAAGCTATGGACCTAAACCAAAGCTAGGAATATCCCCGACCCCGAGATACAGAGACCAGAATACTAGATCCTGATTTTATAATAATATATATAATCTTCTCTTTAACAGGAGCATATTAACATCCGCAGACATTGTCAGAATAATTATCATTAGAATAACAATAATAATAATAATAATTAATAATAATAATAAAAAAGGGTAGGAGGGGACGGGTGAGGGGAGTCTATAATACACAGTCTTGTGAGGTCAGCGTGGCCTTTCGGAGCCTGCGCTGCCGCGGCCTTCAAGTGCCCCCTTCTGTATTTACATGCTTGCCTGGCATCCGCGCCCCCAGCTAAGCTGGAGGGAAAACAGTGCATCGAACACAAAATAAAACCCATCAAATAGCCCCCTTACCCTCCCACCCCCGTAAAACCTGCCTCTTTTTTTTTTTGTCTCGTTTGCTTCTTTTTCCATAAAACTTCCTGTCAGAAATACACTATTTACACACGAAATAAATAGAGCGGTAACCTGATTTGTGTTTGGCCTGCGGCAAACAGTCAGAGGTACTAGGGAAAGTATGGCTTGGATTCAAATCTGTACAGAGCCGTGTGGGGAGCCGGGATCAGCCTGCAACCCCGGGGCATGGCAAAGCCGGGAACCTTGCATATTTCAGGGCCTTGCATCCAACGGGCAGGAAACGGTGAGAGGAGACGGGCCCCCTTGCCACTGTCCCTTGGCCCTCCTATCCACACCCCCACCCCGCCAGCCGTTTTCCGGCCCTGGAGCAGTGGTTGCATCCCGCAGTCTCAGCATAAGATGGGCACGCCGTCTGCAGTCACAAGCCGGCCTGTGGTGGGGTCATAGCTCCCTGCCAGGTAGTAGAGGTCTTGACGGTCCTGGTATTTCTTGCTGCGTGTCAGCTGCTCGTAGTGTTCACGTTCTACCACCTGGCATTTGTGCGAGATGGTTTGGACGTCGTTCTCGTCCTCATGGCACGACTGGTACAGCGCGTTCTGCAAGAAGGCCACATGTCAAAATATTGCACCCCAGCCTTGTGGTTTTGCAAACAAAAGGGCCGATGCGCGGACCCCAGGACCAAGTCCTCTGCAAGAATTGTTGTTTGCCAGTCTGCAAGCACCTGACATTGTGGGAATTCAATCACTTTTCAGCTCAAAGCAACAAGAGATATAGAAAGCTGGGGTGCACACATTCCAGAAATCTCCCTCCCAGTGTGGTAGCATTAGCAAATTAGATTACAGTGCTACCTTGGTTCTCGAACATACAGTCATACCTCGGGTTACAGATGCTTCAGGTTGCGTGTTTTTGGGATACGGACGTGCCGAAATGCGGAAGTGCCGGAACGGGTTACTTCCGGGTTTTGGCTTCTGTGCATGCACAGAAGCAGCGAATCACAACCCGCACGTGCACAGGCGCAGTGCTGCGGGTTGTGAACGTGCCTCTCGCACGGATCACGTTCGCAACCCGAGCGTCCACTGTAATCCGTTCCAGTAGTTCATTCAACTCCTGAAACTGTTTGAAAACCAAGGTGCGGCTTCCGATTGGCTGCAGGAGCTTCCTGCACTTAAGCAGAAGGCGCATCAGATGTTCGGCTTCCGAAAAATGTTCGCAAACCGGAACACTTCTGGGTTTGTGGCGTTCGGGAGCCAATTTCTTCGACACCTAAGCCATCTGAGAACCAAGGTATGGGGCAAGTTCAACCAGCTTCCCCAGAGCTTGCTGGCCCTCCACTCCTGGCTGCACATGGGATAGCAGGTGATCTCCCACTGGATCCCAAACTACCAGCAGCCCATCCTTACTTTAGTTCAGAGCTTGCTTTGTGTTGCTTCGTAAAACTGTAAAGTTGGCAGGGGCCACGAGCATCATATAACCAGAACCCTCTGCAATGCAACTATCTTTTGCCCAACACGGGGGTCGAACCCACGACCCTGAGATCAAGAGTTTTTATGCTCTTACCAACTGAGCTATCCCAGGTACTACTAGTTCAGCCACACCCTGTGCCTGCCTCACCCTCCTTCCCCCCACCTAACTCTCGCTCCCAAATTTCGCTTCCAGCACTTTCTGGCCTCTCACCTTGCCATCGCTATGTCGCTTGCCCAGCTTGGTCTCCTCAGGATGGTAGAACCACTTTACTTTGACAACCATGTTGCTGCCCCAGGATTCCCACATGCTCTCGATGCGGCCGATGTACGGCAGATGGGGTCGCCCGGCTGACAGGAAGACAGCACAGTCACCGATGCGCAGAGTCTCCTTGCCCCGTACAATTGCCTTGTAGAACAATTTCCGTGCTTTCCCCTTCATGCCACGACGCTGCAGGGAAGGGTAGAGCATGCTAAGGCACAGCAAACAGGGGCCTGCGTCTCGCATAGGGTCCCCACCACCACCCCGCCTTCCAGGCCCTGGTGGGGTTCTGCCACCTACGGGATTCTGACTGTTGCCACGGAAACAAAGCCCTGCGTGTCAACAGCAGAAGATGCCCTCCGCAGCCTGTAGCAACGGAGCGTAAGTGAGGGGCCCACTCTGGATCAAAAGCAAGCTTGGCTTTAGCGAGAATCCCTGGGAGAGGCTAATCAACAAAAAAACCCAAATGGGGTTGCTAGGCATGTTTTTATGTCCTGCGAGGTACGGGTGCCCAGAAGGGCCATATTGACATGGAACAAGACAAGCCTAGGGACAAGACACACAGAACATGGCTGGTGCCTCACAGGGAGCAAGATGACCGAGTGCGTGGAAGAGAAGCAGCTCGTTCCCACTGTACCCACCAGAGCTTAAATGCAGACCCAGCCCATGCCTCAGGAGAAAACTGGCTCCCGCCAGCCACTCGCAGGAGGCCGCTAGCCGCTATGAAACCTCGGCCGTGTTCCCACAAATGCAGAAGCGCTTACAAAAAATTGGCTGCTATTGCAGATTTCCTGTGTGAAGTATCTGGGACAACTGAATGCCAGTTAGTAAAGACAGTGATCCCTCGCCAACCTGGAGGATTTGGTGACCGCCGATGCACAGCAGCGAGTGCCAGTCTAATCTTTGTGGGGCTCAGGAAACCCCCAAAGCCTGTTTTGCAGCCCAGTTCTGAGACTGTCTATGTGGTTAAGTGTTCACTTGGATGTACTTCTGAGCAAAGTGTGCCCGAGATGGGCAGCACAAGCATCCGAATTGATTAACCTGAGGCTGAAGTGTAAAAACAGGAATTCATGGTTCTTTTATCACAAAAAAAAAAAAAGAGAGAGAGAAAGGGAACTTGGGTCTTTCCGCCAGGTCAGTTACAGGAAGGCAGTATGAAGAGCGGAGAAGGAAGCCTCCCAAGTTTAGCCTATCCTCCTGTTGAAAGGCACAGAAAGACTTATGAACCGCTTCCTCCTACCATTTCCTTCCAGCTCTGTCACAATAGCTCTTGCCAAAACAAAACCCCATTGATACAGTTTTAACAACCAGACAAAGCAGATTCAAAACCATTTCCCTTAATTTGCATACTATAGTACAATCGCACCATATGGCATAGAATATTTTATTTTATATATGAGAACATGAGCGACGTTCTAAAAAGCTCCGATGGACTGGCATCCATTTCCCATACCTGAGTGGGATTCCCAGACCACTTCCAGAGCTGGCGTGCTGGCAGGAAAGCGGAGATCTTTGGCCGGTTTTCCACCGAGGGCAGCCTCTGCCGGCGGGAGAACTCTTTGGCTTTGGAGAAGCTCAGGGCCTCCTTGCGCCTGAGCTTGCCCTTGGCCCCAGAGCCAAAGCACCTCTGCAGGGTGCTGCCCTTGGAGCGTAGGGCTTCGGACTGGGCCAGCAGGGCTGGGACAGGGTGCGTCAGGCAGGTCTGCACAAGCAAGGTCGAGTCCTCGTCGTCGGAACTATAGGACGAGTCATTGTCGGATGAGCAGAGACTGGACGTGGAGCCCGAGCCCGAGCTGGAGGAGGTGGACGATCCGGAGGACGAGGACGAGACCGAAAGACGTGTCAGGAAGCGGGAGGGGACACTTCCTCTCAGGTCGTCCACCTCATCTTCATCCATGTCTGAGTAGGAGCTGTGACAGTCGCTGTCGCAGTGCAGACCGTACTCCGTTTGACCCGTGTACTTGCGCAGCGCCAGCCCCATGGGCAGCGATGTGCTCTTCTTCTCCTTGATCCCCAAGGCCGGGTGAGCATAGCCGTGGCCGGGCAGCGAGCCAAAGTCCTTGTCGTTCATCAGCAAGGCCTTGCAGTTTTTGTTCTTGGGTGACGTCACGCCCTCGTGGTCCAGCTTGACCAGGTACTCGCCGCCCATTTTCCGGCGCCCTCCCTTGCCCATCTCGACATCCAACCGCTCGGCCTTCTTGGCACGCAAAAGCTTCTGGGTGCACGGCAGAACCAGGCCGGCGCTTCCAAAAGCGGAGTAGGAGTTGGCAATGCGGCTGAACGAGTCTGAGCCAAAGCCGTTGCCAAAAATAGGGGCAGCCACGCTGTGCACAGGGAAAAGCACCTCCTTGGTCCGCAGCTTCTTGCTGCTGCCGTTGAGCTGGAAGAGGTTCTGCCGCATCGCTGTGCTCTTGCTGGAGGTCTTGCGCTTGTTCTGAGCCACAGCTGACCAGCTCAGCAGAGGGCTGGCACGGCGGCCCAGGAAGTGATCTCCAGGCAGGGCTTTTGAACTTGGGTGCAGCAGGTCAGATTTACCTGGTAGGAAAGGACAGGGTCAGAGAAATACTGGTGGGGGCTGCCAACTGCGCTAAGAAACTGTGTTTAATCTTCCTATGTCCTTCCCCCATGCAACTGCTTTCATTTATTCTTGCCGGGGCCTGGTCAGATGGGTTGAGCCGATAAGAACTACAGTAGACCCTTGGGTTACGTTACTCTTGAGTAACTTAAACTTCGGGTTGTGAAAGTGGCAAACCAGGAAGTATTTTTCCGGGTTTCACCGCATGCGCAAAGAGCTCTATTGTGGTGGATTTTTCGGGGTGCACATGGACCCTCGGAACAAATTAAATTTGTATCCAGAGGGTCCACTGTATCCTCTTATGTATGCTTAAAAAAAAAGCCGTCCAGAAAGGGGTGGGGAATGAAATGGGTGTTTAAAAAAGTAGATACTACGTAGGTAGCGATCACAGTTAGATGAGTGCCACAGATCCTGCAAGTGTCTGACTCGGACACTGTCAAAGTATTTCTGCAGAATGGCAAAAGGCAGGAAGTAGCAGCTCTCACTGTCCAGTCACTTCTCCCTCCCCAGGAATCCATGACACAGCCCACCAGCACCCCTTGACGTGCAAACCATTCTCATTTGGCGGAAGAAATGCTGAGAGACAGAGTGAAGCCAAAAGAAGGGATCTGCTTGTTAGGATCTCCCATGTGTCCAGTGTAGGGTGCATTGACCTCACTTCTTTTTGCCCTTAGTGACATCAATATATAGGCACATAATTACATTGTCCCTTGGAGTATATTGTCCCTGATTGGCTGGGATCTCCTGAGGAGGAATGAAATGGAGAGGCAACTGAAGCAGCAGCAGTGGTGGTGGTGTCTTTGAATAGTGATGAACAACCATGAAAAAGGTTGGATTTGGGGCAATTGCAGTCTAAAGAAGAGTAAAATGTTTGGTACAGAGTTCAGAGTTCACCAGGTTTTGTTTATAACTCTATTATACCTTGGTCTATCTCCCTTTCCTGGTGTTCCATCCCCAACTGATGTCCATCAACGCTTTGTCAGGGTTCATGAACCCTGGCCCACCTTTTATGGTGCTGCTTCATTTTGATGTTTACACACTGCTCTTTCCATAACTCAGATGGGCTTCTTTTTTTGCAGGTAGGGATCCAAGTACTTCTGGATTACATAATGGACCTGGAGCAAGGAACCAGCTATATTTTGTAATTTTATAAGCTATGTGACTTTGCTGCTCAGTATATCTTTTTTTTTTACATGATCTGTGGTGTTTTATGCATTGTGACTTTGCTGTTATTTTTATTGATTACAGTCCAGTAATGATTTGTTGTGGTTTTTGAGGTGTGATTTTCTGTTTGATTATTATTTGCTGATATGTTAAGGGTTCCTTTTATTGTTCAATATAGTATTTGAAACAGATTATTGACTATTGCATTAAGCCGCTTATTTTTACAGTCATATTTTTCGTTATGATTTGCATTGGATCAGATTGTTTATAGGACGTGTGATCTTTGTTGCATATTTTATCATTTCTATGGCTTGTGATCTGCCTTGCGTGTAACAATGTAGAAAGGCGGTGTACATATTAAAAAGGAAGTTTCTGTTCTGCTGCAAAGTTTTACTGGGTACTCTTGGGGCAAGTCACCCTCTCCGCCTAATCTCTCTCACAGGGTTTTGTGTGAGGATAAAAAGCAAGACAGACACAGGACCTTTGAGCGCCTTTCTAATGAAAGGCAAGTGATGGAGAAATGGCTTACCAGCTTTTTCTTTGCTCGTTGCCTTCTTGCCGGTGCTTTTGGCCGACTCTGAGCTCTCACGCCCCTCAGCGCACAGGCTTGGTGCCGATTCACTGGAATGGGGAACGTCACTGGAAGTCCTCTTGTTGCGACGGCAGAAGGTGGAGACCAAGAGTGCAGGAGAAGGCTCTGTGCCTGTAGCAGAGAGGGGAGAGTTAGAAATCTCAAGCTCAGATGCAGGTGAAGACTCACTAAGGGTGCCTCCTGAATTCATAGGTTGGTGGCCCATCTGAATTTGCCTTTCATACTTTCTCCTGTGGCAATATTCATCTCCCGTTCTTCATGGTCATGTGCAGGCTGGCAAGATCCCCCTTGCACCTAGCCCAGAAAGCGCAGGACGTTCTCGTATGCCCGAAGGGAATGGCCACTGTGCCCAGAGCTGCGGGGAGTTTTATAACCAACCGGGCACAAGGTGCAGTGAAGCTGCACCCAAGGCGCAGATTGCAGCAAGGAAATTGCTCCTTAGCAAAAGCCCCAGCATGGATGAGGCTCTGCATTAGAACCTCTGCAGGTTTGGATCTGCCGAGGCAAAACAAAACTCGGAAGC